AACATGCATTTCCTTATGTCAATGTTGTGATGCGTCAATATATTGACGCTTTCTATTTTTAATTTTACAAGGTATATTATTTTTATTCTGTAGAGGATTAAACGTGATTGAATATTAGTTACGTTCAAATCAGATATCAAAAATAAAAATAGAAATTTTGATTATAAAAGCAAGTAATCAATCGATTGAATGTTTATTGTGTTAGTCTTTTCTTTCTATCCTTCTCTTCTTCAAACTACCGGTTAGTTTTACCTTGTTTTCGATTAACTTCCTTTTTTTTTCTTATAGCTAGATTAGTTCCGTTTTTCTCTTCTCTTATCGTCTGTCGATCCACACCTATGTACTGTTTCTCAAGAGACGACGACAATAACAACAACAATAGCGAAGTGTTTTTTCTTTTTTTCTCCTCTATTCGAAACTTGCTTAAATTTGTTGAGTAGTCACTTTACTATTACTTAGCTTTGTCATTTGCTCTGTCACGAATACATGACGGAAGACTGTAGAAGTACTGCATATTGAAAGAGAATATTCAATAGCATTTTTTTCTCTTTACCAAAATTGACTATAAAATTTTCTTAGAGTTGTTTTTGCTCACATTATAACGATAACTGATTTATTTAATAGTTCATGCATGTTATGTCCCAATGGAAGTGAAAAGAATGCGATGATGTTGGCAATGAAAGAAAAACGTTCAGAAATTGATCGGTGGCTAAATGTGCGTAGATATGTGATATTATTACGGACGAGCAATACGGTCTATTATTGATCTTTAGTTTATATTCGGAATGTATGTTGATAGTATTGATTGGTTTCAATATAAAATTTTGATTGTTTTACTTGCTCGATTCATTATTATCGTTGGTATGATTTGTTTTCTTATCTTTGTTTTTTTAATCAGCATAGATAATTATTAAAATAACAATCAAAATTTTAGATAGTACCAAGCCATGTAATTCATCGTGTGATTATCAAATATGTCCCAAGGTATGTATCATTGAAATGAATTCATTCGAACAACAACAACAACAACGTATGACTCTTTTGTATTTCTTAAGACTTGTATTAAAAATCTGATAAATGATTAAAATCTTACGTAATAGTTTTATCTAGGAAATAATCAGAAAATTTATTGCAAAAAAAAAATCTACTATCGAAACAATGAATATCAGAAATCGATAACACTGTTATTCAAATGGTGAAAATCTTGATTTGTTTTTCAAAGATTTATTAATGAAATAAATTTTATATTTATATAATTCGTGTTATCAAGAAGTAAATGAATCCAAGAGAATTTTATTTCAAATAGTAAATTCTTAGAGTCTCTTTTAATATCTCAGATATTCTTTTACTCATTACAAACATTAAATGATAACTATTTCATGTTTCTTTTTTTTTTTTTGAGAATCATGTAGTGTATAGGTCTTTGTGACCTATTATGAATAGCATTAAAGAGAAATTTCTTTTTTCTTTCAATAGAAACTGTTAAATGAGCTCGAACAACTATAATCCATCAAAAATATTGCGTGTTTTTCCTTTTGATTTGTCTATGTTTAGAAATAATTATGACATAAACGTTCTAAGTATGATTTATCAACTATTTCATGACATGTTTGAGTATATAAAAAATTTTATTATTTGGAAAAATCAGACAAGATTGCATTTTCTATGACTTGTTGATCTGAATAAATTTTCGTTTGATAAAATATTTTTTATATAAATCAAAAATATAACATGTCTATGATTCTTGTTGTGTATTTTTTTAATGTTTATTCATTTTTTAATTTGCAGATATATGAAAATATTGAATTAGAATCAGAATTTTATATTTTTTCCAAATATGAATTCAAAATTTTTGTAGAACTTTTGATTTAGGAGTTATGAATAAAGCTCGACGTGATCATTTGGTGAAAGAATAATTCTATTTTGACCTTTTATATTTAGAATTTTTTCCGCTCTTTAAAATTATCTATAATATTCGAAGATACAAGGATATACAGAAGAGAAAACTGTAATATACTCATCGTCATTAAAACTGGTCATGAAGAATGTATAGCATTTTTCTCTAGCATAGATGATTGTATCCTCGATTTTTAGACATGATTTTGAAGAGAAGAAAATTTTGAATACCAAAGGACAAATTAGAATTATTTTTTCACATCCAACATGAAAACTATTATCAATGAATCCTTATCTCTTTTGGTCTCGTCGGGGGTCTAGTTATGAGTCGATCTTTTAGAGGCGCGAAAATTAAGTTTGGACATAAAAAATAGATATTTTCTTTTGCATAGAATTAAAGATAAAATTATTCTTTACAAAGTGATATAAGAATCAGTAGTTTCAGAACAATCATCCAGGAATAGTCGAGCTCACTTTACAAATCTCTTTTTCATGGAAATTGAAGTAATTGTCTACATTGACACTAGGGAGTTGCAGGTCCACGTTTTTGTGGACCCTAACTTGGTCAAATCCAAACCCGAGGTTTTTTCCATCAATATCTGACACTCTTCGTGTACATGAACAATTGAAGGATCGAAGTTTCAGCTATTTATTCACTACCCTCAGAAAAAAAAAACTCAACATACAATTATATCTTGCTGCTGTATTTCTCATCTGGGTCGCAACGGGTCCACAAGAACATGTAACTGGGCCCGACAAAAAATAAAAGGTTGGACCAGGACCCGGCCAGACCTGGAAGAACCTATAGCTCCCTAATTGACACTGTGCATCTTAGCAAAATGCCTATTGTTAATAAATGACTTGAAGCAAACGAATCATTAATATACAATTTTTTAGAGAGAAACATTTGCTCTTTCACTCGCTGTGTTTGAAATCATTTTCGATTCTACTTTGAGTAATTTTCAGTGCATTAGAGTTCATCCAAATTTAGTTTATCGGGCTCTAAAATATGGACTCATAACTGCCAAACTAGAAGTCCTAGAAAAACTTTAAGCTCATATTTTGAAAGAACATAAAATTCTGATTTTAAGTCAACGTTTTGAAAATTCTGTAGACTCATTTAAGAGATTGCATAATCAAAATGACATTTGTATCTAAGAACTATACGCATTACTACTCAATGTTTCTCTTCATGGATGTCATTTTTTCGAAAGCATTCATCACTTCTAATCATTAAATTAATCTAATTTCATATAATAATTATTCTATTATTTTTTAGCTTCAATCAATGCTTTCTTATGGTAGATATCAAACATTTCAAATATCATCAAATATATCATATGTATCACGTATTTATGGTCAAAATTTTCTTGCTTATTCATCTATTGATGATTTATTAATATTTATTGAACCAAAACATCAAATACATGTTTATAATGGTCGTACAATTCAACATATTGTTAATTTAAGTACAACAGATGTTGTTATTGCAACATCATGTGCATCATTATTATCAAATTCTCATCATGAATTATTTTTTATATATGAAACAAATTCTGAAACAAATTTAATATCTTTACGTGTATGTCAAGTACTTTTTAATAAATCTAAATTAATTTTTGAAAATAATTTATGTATTGAAACAATAACAATACAATATGATCAACCAAATTTACTTGTTAATGGTTTTACAATAAAACGTGATCATGCTGGAACTAAAAAATCACTTTTATTTATATCAACATATGTTGGTGTTATTTATGCAATATTTGATACACATACAGGTTCATTATTTGGACAAACAACGATTATGAATGAAACATTAAATGAAGGTAGTATTGCTTTATCATCATCTGGTTCAATTTATTATGCTAGTAAACAAGAACATTTAATATATGAATTAAAGATAGCACGTGATTTTCGTTTATATTATGGAAAAATAATTAAAGCTAATGCAATTAAACATCCATTTGGTTTAATTACAGATGAATGTAATCATTTGTAAGTTCAATTCATTTTTTTTTCAATGTTATTTTGAAAGAACGAATGCACATAAAGATCAGTTTTAGTTCATTTAATTTTTACTCAAAAATGAACATAAAAGAATTATTAGATTTTATAGCCTTTGAATTAAACATGGTTGCGAAGTCTTTAATTAGGAGTACTTATGTCTCTTACAAGCTTGGCCATCATCATAAGATTTCTTCGTGTTGTAAGCTAAGAAGATAGATGCTTCTTTTGAGTTAAAGTCGCAGGCAGTAACATGACCAAGGGTGAACTAGGCTGGTCACATGTCAATGAGTTCACTCATAATGTGATTAATAGAACATGACTTGAGTTATATTTGGATACCAAAATAGTAAATAAATGATCTTTCATTGAGTAGAGAATGGACGAGCAAGAATATTTGAATAATCTTAATAGATGAACTTACAGTCATTAGTCGATATTGATCATCTTATATCTCAGAAAATAAAAATGAACATATCGCCAAAATTACAGTACTAGTAGAATACATGATCAGCCGCAAGAACATGTATAATTTGTTCAGGAAAAAATATAGCTACATGTTCGAGGTCGAGACTCTTGTGTTCGGATAGGAAAAAGTGGTCATTTCTTGATTGATATTTACCAATTTTTGTCAGATTTATTGCTTTTTTAGTCAAAACAAATAATATATTTGGAATCAGTATCAATAACTGAGTTGATCTATATGTGTTTTGAAATTCTTTGGATAACTTTTATTTTCGTCAAAAAATTTATCCTTGGTCCCTCTCAGAATTCAGCTAGAAAACGGAAGTCAATCATAACACCATTTTTACTACGTAGCTATCTACTTTTTTGTACTACATTATCAGTTTGTGAGATTAGAACTTGTTATCAACTATCCAAATGAGATTTTAATGGATTTTATTTTTTGGCTGAATGCTGAGAGGAACTTGTGACGAATTTTTTAACGAAAACAAAAGTTGTCTGAATAATTTGAAGTACATATAGATCAACTGAGTTGTTGATACTCATTTCAACTATATTATTTATTTTCACTAGAAAAGTAATGAATCTGACAAAAAAATGACCACTTTTAGCTATCTGAACAAAAGGATACTGCCTCCAAGCATGTGACCATACTTTCCTTGAACAAATTATACATGTCCCTGTAGCTCGTCATACACTCTACTAGCACTGAAAAGTTGCTGATATGTTCATTTTTAATATTTTGAGATATAAAGGGCTCAAGACCGACTAGTGGCCGCACGTCCATTGATTAGGATTCCTCAAACGTTCTTGCTCGATCGTTCTCGACTCAACGAACGACCATTTATTTAATGTTTTGATACCCAAATTTAGATAAAATTTCGCTATTAATCATATTATGAGTAAGTTCAGTGGTTTGTGAATCTAACTCAGAAGAAGCATCTGTCTTCTTAACTCACAATACGAAGAAATCTTATGCTGACGGTCAAGTTGATAAGTAGTAAAAGTATTGCTAATTTAAGACTTCGCGATAACATTTATACATGGATAGACTTACTAACTCAAGCGCTACAAAATATAATTATTTTTATATTCCTTTCTGAGAAAAAAATTAAATGGATCTAAACTGATTATTATGCTGCTCCCTCTCATTGTTTGGTTGTTTCCTTGAATAGATATATTGCTACACGTTCAATGGTATTAATTATGTTTGTTCAAACGTATACAACAATACGAAGTGTATTTTCTAAAGCATCAGATTTACCTATAACACTTGAACGACTTAATGCAACTACTTATGTTTATGCGACGATTAAGAAAAGTGCAAAAAATCTTCTATCTTATTGGATGTTTAATTTTCTTTATTTTACTGGTAATTCGTTAAGATTTTCTTTTGTTTTTCAACAAAATAAACGAACTTTTCCTTTCTTAGAACCAGAAAAAATTTATACTTCGACTCGACATTCGGGTAGGAAAAACAAATTGTATTTGTTTTATTTTGCTTTTGTTATTGTGAATCACAAATGACCTGCTTTATCTATCACTATCCTTCCCTTATTATCCATAGCTGTCAATTGGAAAGAAAATTTGGATTTCAATAATGCTATAAATGAAAATGCCAGTAGTCCAATACTTTGGCCAATATCATACGTGTTATCATCGACAGCAAATACAACAAAGAAATATACACAATTTTTTTCTACACCTAGGAAACCTTTTTCTCGATTCACGACAATAATCCCCAAATATGAACAAAAAAACAATTCTATTGATCAAGAAATCTCATCAATCAATAAAACAAAACTACTTACAGGAAATTCGTCAACTGTATCATATATTCCCTTCGAATCAGATGACTCACAACTAAGTGAACCTGATGAAA